GCATTTGAGGATCGTTATTTTCCCATCTTATAAAAAATTAAATCTGCTTTTCTTAGTATGGAGATGTGTCCACAAGAACAGTAAACCCCATTGTTAATATACTATTGATAAAAGAAAGTTTTAATCCAAAGTCATGATTGAAACTTCACCTTTGAGAACAAGACCAGTTTATTTACAATACATTGTAATTTTCTTCCTAATTTGCACAATTTCTACTTCAACAATTCAAACCTACTCAGCATTAAAGGAAAATACTTTGTTTTACTACTACACAGTTATGCACACCCAACCCCTTACACCCATTTTCTTCCTGTCCAAGAAAACAAAAAAAAACTTGGGGGTTCCTTCATGTACCTTTTTCTGATGCAGCTGCTTTGGTACACTCTAATACTAGATGACTTGGTTCCCATGGTGGCACTTTCTTGTTTTTCTTTCCGCGTCTTCTTTTAAAGTGATTGGCCAGAAAAATAACAGATATTGCACTCACTGCTGTTACTGTGAAAAGCTTCTTTAACCCAGGGGAAAGCTTTATCTGAAAATAAAAGAGTGTGACTTCATTGGAAGTATATGCTCCTTAAGTCCCACCTTTCCTCCTGTCCTCCTTTTGCTGTGCTCAACCTAGGCTATAGCTTGTCTGAGGGAGATAAGAGATACTGCTTTCACATAGCCTGAGAAACAACCAACTCTGAGCAAGGACACAGACTAACCGCTTCTCAAAATTTGTGCTGGTCAGCAGGTGAGAGAGTTTACAAAGGGGCTGGTGCAACAAAGTGAGTGGCTGCACTAAGAGACATATTGCAGTACCAAGAACTATAAGGTATATTGCAAATCCATGAACTACGGGGATCTATGTAAATGACTTTCAGACAAACTTCTTTTTATTTTATTTCTTTTTAATGCCAGGACAATGCAGGGCTTCAATTAATTCTCTAACAGCAAAAAAATTCTAAGAAACTCACCCTTCACAAATAGACTATTTCTCGCACTGTGAAAGAGTGGAGGATCCAAAAGCTAACATTTGCATTGTGTTTCAATTTGGGAAGAACATGTATTTAAACATATTTCTCTAAATAGAACTTTTTTTTTATTGTTACATTTTATTTTGGATATAGATCAGCCATAGGTTTACAGACATTTAAATTAGCAAGAACCACATATACAAGCAACTGGAATTAAAAGCCATTAACAAAGTTTATAACATTCAAAGTGACAAGATATACAAAGAAGATAAGATCCACTTAACTGGAAACTAGAGTCCACATTCACAAAATCTTTAGGAAATCTATGCTGCTTAAGAAACAAACTGCTGGGAGAAAACCAGATCTACAGTCCTTGGGGCTAATACGGCGTTTCTGTAACACGTTTCCTCACACAAGAGAGAGCTGGCCACACAGGCCACACAGAGTACTGCTGCACTTTCGCAGTCCCTGGTTGCTGTGTAATTGGTTAATACTATCAGAGTTCTGTAATTTAAAGAAGCACTGAAAGCTTTGCTCTGCAGTGAGTTTGCAATCAACAAGTCAAACACCTTTGACTTGAGAACCATGTCCTTAGTGGTACTGTATCTTGACTGAGGCCAAAAACCTAGCACTGTACTCTGCAAGGAAAAGGAAATTCCTGAAACATACTTAGAAAAGACTACTGTATTTCACAGAAAAGAGTTAATAACGAAATAACTGAGATTAAAACCTTGAAGCTCACAGAATTAAATGCTAGAACTAAAGTTTCAAAGAACTGTAAGTGGATTTTTAAAAATTTGTCTGTGCCTACAAGCATGATCATAAATAAACTAACAGTGAAATGAAAACCTCTAGGAGAGGAAAGTTAATAGTTGCACATGGTATTTAAAAAGGATGTGAACATGCTGCAATGTAAAAAAGAAATCAGTGATCTTGCAGTGAGAATGTTAAAGTATTTTAAATACAGAAAAAATGTGAAAATAATCAGATGCAGCTAAGACTGAGACTATCTCATTCTGGTTTTATATGCAGTAAAACTTTGAAAAGCATTTACATGCAAATATGAAAAATGACATTGCTTTTGCTGACAAGCATCTAATTCAATAAAAATAAAATACTGTCATATTAAAGACATGGGTTTTAAAAGCATAACTTTATTAGGACCTGCTAATATCTATTTTCTAAAAAACACTATTGGCATTCCTAATGTTAACCATTTTTTTCTTCTAGTTATCCTTGTCAATGATTCAGCATACACAGAATGGAAAAAAAAAATCTACTGGACCATATTTTGTACAGCCAACTAGAAACTCTTTTTTTTCCTCCTGTGTATTATGGCATCAGAATATGGCTCACCCTTCAAGAAATGTATTCTCTGAGGGATATGATTGAAGCCTTAATATTTTCTCAAGTAATTCTGACTTATTTCACTATTTCACTCTATCATTTATCACATATGTAGTTACAAGCAACTAACGCCTGTCTTCTCTGAATCTCTACAACACAATTACAGCTCCTCCTCCCTGTCTTTGACATGAAGGTGCTCTAGGGACAAATCTTATGATTCTCTGCAGACAAAGGGTATCAGCTTCACAATACCTCCAGCTTTTGTCAACCTGAAAACTAAGATCATAATGTATTCTTTGTCCAGATTTGAGTGACTGCTATCGATGTTGCTAGTGAAAACTAGCCTATAGCGTCAATGAAAGAAAATAAAAATAAATCACTCCAGGGCCATCTGTAAAAGGAAATACTGAGATTAACAGATCCTTAAGATTTTCTCTGAAGATCTTTCTGCAAGTAAAACAAACAAAACCAGCAAAAAGAACTGAACGGGTTTAAAAAACGGCCTGCTTTCAAAGAATCAATACCTTGTTTTAGTCATGTGCCACTTATTTAATCAAACAGAAGTGACTCCAAAACTAGAACAAGGATTTTTGATTTACATTAATGAATTATCATTCAGGTTAATTTGGAGAGTGGTACTGGCAATCTAGAAAGTATTTCAGACCACACTCAATACTACTATTCAAAATTTAATGACAGTTATGTTTAGTTTTTAAATACCTGAGAAATTCTACAAAAAAAAAAAAAGACAACTTGAGGGTTTTGATATTTGATGAGCATCATTGTGCTGTTGCAAATGAAGACATATAGACATTGCAGATAAAGCAATCTCTTCAGTCAGTTGTATGATGATGCACTAAGCATTTATTAGCAGAAAAAGACAAGAAAACCCTACTTATTTTAGTTCAATGTCCTAAATAAAACAAAATTCAAGGTGTTCTGTATAAATTTAATTCATACTAAGCGCAGAAGAGTGAGAACAACATTGCAGTTCAACTTCTAAACATATATCAAAAATGACAATGTTTAGATAACGTATAAATTACCTGGTTAAGAGAATAATACCAAGAAATGGGAAGATGAAATACCCGTAAAGCTACCGTCTTCAGAGAAAATCGTGCCTCAGTAGCAGCTTCTTCTGACATGGCTCCCTCTCTCCCATAACCTCATTAAGTGGAACTATCTTGAAAACAGTCACAGATGGTCTCTGGAATACTCTGTCAAATGAAGCATACGTGCTGAATTACGCAATAGAAGCCCAGGACAGCTTTCTTCTACGAGCTCAAATCTATTATATAACAGGTACAAGACTTGTTTGATTGATGTTTCTGAGTAGAGAAGACGTGCTTACTGAGAAGACAGCACACTTGCTGGCTCAGCTTAGGCCCCATTCCTTCCAACTGCTCTGAGCAGAGCCCTGTGTACGTATAACCAGGATCCACAGAGGACTCGGTCTGCTTTGATTAGCTGGCAGTTCACTTACTATATCCTCTAAATCATACAGGGCAACAACCCTGTTTCTAAGATCACTGCTGTTGGAAGAGCGTAACTGCCAGCTCAAAGAGTTAAAAGATTTGAGAGCAGCCAGAAAAAGTTCATCTCATTCAGAGCTTCAGTTTTTTGGAGACACGCAGCGAGGAATAAATAATACAGCCTGACGCAATCTCCCCTGTCAAAGGCAGCATCCCCCTCACGCCCTGATGCTAAACACAAGGCGCAGCCTCTGGCACCTGACATCCAGGACCGCAACCGGTGGCGGGGAGCGAGGTGACAGAAAAGGGCGGGCCCACGCGCCGAGGGAGCCGTCAGCTTTAACCGCCGGCTGCTTTCCCGCCGCCGCCGTCTCCGGCCACGGGCGGGCCGTGCCGCCCCGGAGGCGTTTCCTCAGGGCAGGCGCCTCTCCCCGCCGCGGGACACGGAGCGGGGCCCGGCCGGCCTCGGAGGGGCGGCGAACCCCGTCCCCGTAGCTGGCCCCGTTGGGGGCAGAAGCCACCGCCGTCCGGCCCTGCCGAGCCCTCCCCAGGCGAGGCAGCCCCGGCGTCGCGCTCAGGGGTGCCCGAGCCTCGGGACAGAGCCGGGGTGGCAGCTCCGCGCGCCCCTCAGCCCCCGTCCCCGCAGCCGCCCAGGCAAAGGCGGGCGCGCCTCTCCCGGGCCTCGGGCCAGGTCCTCGCTGCGCGGCGGCCCGACGGTTGCCGCCCTCGGTTACCTGCCGAGCAACGGGGCGGGCGCCACGGGCAGCAGCCGCGGCCCCTCGCGGGCGGTTCCCTCCCCGCACCGGCGGCTGCTAGGAGACCGGCGGGGGATCCGCTTCCGGGCCAGCGAGAAGCGGCCGAGGTCGGCCGGGAGGCAGCCCCTGTCGCTGCCACGTGAGGGTGACCCGCTCCGTTAGGAGTCCGCGTCGGCCATCTTTACGCAGGGCAACCGCCTCCCGCGGCCGGCCGGGCGAGGTGGGGTGGGAGCCTGGCGCCGCCATCTTTGTGCGGGGCAGCGCTCACGTGAGCGGCGGAGACGCTCCGCGCGGCCATCTTTGTGCGGGGCGCGTCCCGCGGCCGGCGTTGCGGCAGCCGCGGCCGGTGGGCGTCTGTCTGCGGGGGGAGGCGCCGGCGGAGCCGCGGCCTGGGCGCGCGCG